ACCTCCCACAAACAGGCAGGTTTGGTTGGGCGCTGCTCCTGATGCAGGGGGGCAGGGGCTTGAGGGCATGGGAGGCAGTGAGCTCCTCACCAGGCACAAGTGCAAGCTGCAGCCCGTGGATGTAAATCCATGTCCCCTGAGGCTCTGGGGTTTGACATTCAAGGGGGTTGATCAGGGGAGGGATGCTCAAGCTGTGGATAGGTACCTGGAACAGCTGCCAGTTCTTCTCCTGCAGGCAGGTGCCCATGGCCACAGACCAAACCATGTGGGGAAAGAAACAAGAGCTACAAGCAGACATGCTGCAGTCCTGGAAATGCTGGGGAGAAGGCGTGTGGCAGCCCACATCAGCCCCATCCTGAACATGCCAGGCAGCCTCAGACACAAGCCCCAAACAAAATAATTTCATGAGGCTGTCATAAGCTTTTCCTACCAAACCACTCACAGAAATGTTCCCAAGAAACATCAGTTAAAAGTTCTCTGCCAAAACTATGCTGGTAACTAACTGGGAACATTCGGCCTGAAAATAAAATATTTTGGTGATGGAAAAAAAAAAAAAAAGAAAGAAAAGAAAAAAAAAAAAAAAGAAGACTTAAAATACATTTAAAAGCAGTACCAAAAATAACTCCAAACATCATGTGGGCCAGAGTTAAGGGGATGGTGCTGGGGGGGTCAGGAAGAAGGGAGAGTGTCTTAGTGTGGAGAGACAGAAATAGTTTAAAAATAAAATCACTTCTTCTCCCAGCCACCCTGGGTTTTCATGCAAAAACTGCAGAGGGTGAAGGCAGAACTGCTGCACACATCAGTCTCTGGGCTTCTCCATGGCAGGGGTTTACACTCTGGAAGCTGGCACACTGCTGACATGAGTTTACCAGCCCTCAGGGCTGCTGAGTGCTTCAAGACCAGTGTGTGAAAATGACCCTACAATGCTGAAAGGGACCTTTCCCCTGCGTGGATAAGGGAGGAGGCAGGGACACAGCATGATTTGCAGTCAGCTCTGGTAATATCCTCGGGGAACAGCACAAACTCCTCCTGGCCAGCCTGGCTGCTGGTGGCATTGCCAACAGACCCCAGATCCCCATGTGGTGGCAGAGGGCATCCCTCCAGACCCAGTCCCCATCTGCATCCCAACCCCTAATCTCCATGGTGATTCTCCAAATGGTCCCCTACTGTGAGGACCACCCTGCATCCTCCCACCCTCCAGCACTGTCCATCTCAGCCCCCCTCCCTCAGCTCTCTCCATTCTCACTTCAGCTTCCCATGAGCTCCCCTGCCTCAGATATGCTCTTCTGGGCAGCTGCCCACCTCTGCCAGCACAGTGTGGGGGAAGGCAGCATCAAGCATTCCAAAGGCACACAAACAATGGCCTAGTAAATGACCCACCTGTGCATTGCCAAAACCCAGCCAGAGCCGAGAAGAGAGAAGAAACAGGGCAAACCCATCCTCACCCACCTGAAGGTCACAAACAACAGGGAAAGGAGCCACAGAGCTGGGGGAAGACCCAAAGCCTTCACCTGCCCGTGGCAGCATGGTGAGGGGCCAGTAGCTCTGGCCAGCCAGACCTGCAAAACAGCCTGCCCAAAAAGGATCCCTTTACTTTCCGCAACCAAACTCCCTCCCTGAGGGAAAAAGAGGCAGGCAAACCAATGCACACCTTCCTCAGTAGCTCTGCACCCTCACGGGTGGGCACACAGGCAGAGAAAGCATCCCTCTATGCTTTCTCTGGCCATGACACATCCTGGGAACAGGGAGTCCCAGCACAGCGGTCTTGGAGCTGAGCCGGGACAGAAGGAACAATCAGAGCTTTTTTTCCTCCCTGCATGCTAATCCTGGCCCAAGAGGCGTCTGCCACCCGCCCGGAGCTTGGTGACCTGGAGTCATGGCTGGGGCAGAGGGACCCAGCTGGGGCTGGGGCTGTGGCTTGGCCCTGGCAGGGTGGGCAGTGGTGCCCGGCTCCGCTCCCTCAGCACGCGATGCTCCCGTCACCAGCAGGGCCAGAGTGACCCATGGATGTGAGCCAGCAATGTAAGCTGCCTCTCTCCATCCTGCGCTGACCCTGCTGTCCTGCTCGGCACCATTTGAGCTCACCTGGAAGTTTTTTGGGGAGCCGAGAAGAGAAAACCCACTGTCAGCCCCTTCCTGCACTCAGACTGAAATGCTGTGAGCCAGAACATCCCCCGGCATCACGGTCACGCGCAGCAGCACCAATGCCTGCGCGGGGTGCGACAGTCCCCCCAGCACAGCCACTCTGTGCCATGCCCTGCAATAGCCTGGCAAAGCCCAGCACAGACTCTTGGGGGAGGCCAACTTTCTATTGCACTCGACGCTTTGAAAGACAGTGGGCTCTGTTCTGCTTTTTATTTTTTTTTTGCTTTGCTTCATTTGAAGTTGCTCTTCAAAGAGGACGAGCCGCACACAGAGCAGGGGGTGGTGGCGGTGGTGACACGAGCAGATGATGCTGTGCCTCAGGGCTGAAGAAAGCAGCAGGGAGACACAGGATGTTCCCCACTGAACACAGAAAACTGGGGTGCCTCCCAAACTATCCCCAGGATGGTCTGAGGCAGCATCTCTGCAGTGGAGATGTGGTTAAGTTACCCAAGAGCACTTGGCACCCCCGCCCGCCAGATGCTCCACCCTGCCAGAGACACCCACCTGCAGAAAGCTGCCCTGCAGTGGGCGATGCCTGATGCTGGTTGGCTGTAACCCCCTTGAAGATGGCATCATGCTGCATTCCTGTGCCTCAGCTGGGGGAACATCCCTGGCCCTGCACCCCAGACCCTCCTCTCTTTTTCTGTGGGAAACCCATTCCGTGGCCAAGGGCAGCAGTGTTTTAAAGCGGCAGGAATTTCCCTCTTCTTGCTGTCCTGCAGGGTTGGGAGCACAGCATCTCCTCCAGCAGCCCTGCAAAAGCCATGGCATAACCCAAACCCATCTACATGGCCCTTGATCTGCCCAGAAACCCATCAGCATCCCACCCCTGCAACACTGGTGACCTCCACCATCACTGCATCAACATGCACCTTTGGGGCAAGGGGAGCCTCAACCCCACTGCTGTGACAGTCCCCTGCAGCCAGTCATCCCTGTCCATTAAATGCCACTGGCACCCTCCTAACCACTGGGTGCCTGGAGAAAGCCCAGCAACGGGTGCTTGCATGAAGGGAAACGTGTCCCTCCACCACCTCCAGGGCAATGCACAGCCCCCAGGATCACTGGCAGTGCCTGGCCACCCTCCTTGTCCACCTCTGGGTACTTCTGGGGAGATGATCTCTGAGTCCAAGGCGAAGAGACCCTGTTGTCGTTCCCAGCCTCTCTGGGGCCTTGAAGACCTCAAAAAGGGCTGCTTCCCTCTGCACTCCTTCAGTGGGCTGCTGAGCACCCACAGCTCCCTATGCCTGCTGGGGAGGTACCACACAAGGCTGAGCTAAGCCAGCACACACACACACACACACACACACAAAATTGCATCCAGTGCAATCCCTGCACACTGGAATTGCCCCAGTTAACCACTAAAACCAGTTACAGCCTTGCCCTGTGAGGCCAGTGAAATCAGTAACAGCCTAAACTTGGGCTTAAACCCAGTACAGCCCCCTTGTGAGGCTTAGCTCATGGCAGCCCCAACATGGGATCATATCCCACATAGCTGAAGGGCAGGATTAAATTCCACTCAACCCAGAAGTGGGATTAAACCCAATTTAGCTCAGGACTGGGATTATATCCAGCAGAGCCCAAATTTGGGCTTAAATACAGTGCAGTCCAGATTCAGCTATATCCAGGAGTGGGGTTAACCTCAGCTCAGCCAAAATGTGGTGTTAGACCCAGAATAGTCCAAACATGGGGTTATGCAGTCCAAAAGTGGGGTTAAACTCAGCACAGCTCAGGAGTAGGGTTAACCCCAGCTCAGCCCAAACACGGAGTTAAACTCCAGCTCAGCCCAAGCACAGGGCTAACCCCAGCACAGTCCAAATATCAATGAAGCCCAGAACTGGGGCTAACCTCAGCTCAGACCAACCACGGGGTTACACAGTCCAAAGGTGGGG